ACCCAATTCCAGATTGCTTCCCTGCATACCTCCCCTCCCCTCCCCTCCCCTCCCGGTCCTGCTTTCTTTGTCTGGGAAGCTTCATTCTTGGTAAATACAGTCTTCCAATAGCGCATAGCTTCTAATTTTGAAAAGCGTACTAAGACATGAGTATATGGAAGTGGTAGCTGTCATCTCTATGCTATGATCAGACCTACACAACTAAGACTTATCTACAGTGTTATTGTCTACTAGCAAGATAAAAGGTGGCCAGACCTGGGGAACACTCCCTGTTTCAAAGACCAGGTGTAACATGTACCAAGCCAAAAATCCCTTTACATTTTGGCTTGGCTCATAAATAAACTTGACCCAATTCCAGATTGCTTCCCTGCATTTTCCTTTTGCCACAGTGAAATGGGCTCCTTGGAGATTCATGAGGCTTTATCATCAGGATGTTACTGTTGTGAATTTCCCTGGACTTGGGCCCAAATTGCAATTTCCAAACATGTTTGTACTGCACAGTCCCACCCCCAACTCCCCATCCACACAATCACTGTTGCTAAAACATTGAATGGAGAGGGCAGAAAAGGTTGCAAGGAAACTAGGCAGATTCCAAGCTTTGTTACCTCTCCAATGACATCACAGAGACCACAACATGTGGAGCCTAGAGTGGGACTAATGATAAGATTTGTGGATTTGGACCTGTTCTTTATCAAATCCAACATTTGGAGACTTCAGAGCCTCTACTGGAGTTGGTTTCTGGGATGGTTCACCTTCCAACATGATTTCCTGCCTCTGAGGAGAAGTCTGTTCACATGAGCTCACAACTCATAGCGATGAGCATTTTAGTGCTATCTTGAACTATATTTGGGCAACAGTGGCCAGTTAGAGGTAAACCCAGTGTGAGAGGCAGACTCAGCAGTTCTAGTTCCAATGGAGATTAAGGACAACTGAAAGGTAGACACCTCATTCCAGCTGTCAGGATCTGGGCTGCTCTAGTGGCCAGAACCAGAACAACCACCACCACTGTATTCATAGGAGCAGTCCCAAGCCCTGCTGGAGCTCTCATTCTACTGATGAGCACCAGCCGGGAGTTCCTGGGGGAAGACCAACAGAAGAGCGAGCTTCTCCCTCCAGGACTGGTAACTTCCTGTAGCTGTGGAGCCTGTACCTTGCCCAACCTCTCCTGCCTCCTGTCCTGTTCCCTCAACAGCACAGGGTCTTCTGTTTGCTGCTGTGCCTGCATCCTGCTGGCCTTTTCTGTTCCTGCTCCTGGTTCCTGCTGTGCATTCTGCATCATGCCATGCCTCCTGCATCCTCCTGTATCTCCTACCTGTCTATGTTGCCTTGCTGTTGTGCCTGCTTCTTGCCTGACCTATATCCTGCCTCACTGCAAGGCAAGGCTTCCTGCAAGCTGTGGTTTGGCTCCTGCATCTTGCGTATCCCTTGCTGCATCCAGTTCCTGTTGTGGCATGTCTCTTGCCTTGCTGTATCTCTTCTGCCCTGTTATCCTACTTCCACCTCTGTTTGTCCTCTTGGCTGTTGCTCCTGTTGCTTGGCTTGTTCCTGACCATGTCCTTGTTCTGCCTCATGCATTCATCTGGTTCTTGACCTTGGAGTGTACCAGGACTATGATTTAGACATTTAATTAAATCCTGCTTCTGGACTCTGCCTTGCCTGAAGCTCTAATTGTCCTGGTCCTGGTGACTCTGTTGCTCTTGTTTTGTCTCACGCCCTGGCTATGGATCAACACCAGCTATATTTCACTGACTCCTCTTCACACTCCACTTTGTCCAGCATCTCCTGCATTTATTCCCTTTGCAATGGCCTGTCCTGGATGGTTTTAAAAGCCAAGGAAACTTTTTTTTCCACATGGTGCCTCCTCTTTCTTCCTGTATTTCAGTTTACATTATAAAATTAATATTGCTTTAAAAATTAAATATAAGGCTATCCAACAAATTAGGTGTAAAATAATTGTTCCAAAAAGCAATAATTGTTGCCATTTAAACAAGTTCATGCACACACAAACAAAATGCAATAATTTCTATTGTGCAACATTTCTGTTGTTACCTTTTCTATCGTCTCAGGTCCAAAATGTAGGTGGCCAGTGTCTGATACTGGAACAACAGGACCACAGATTATGGAGGTAGACAGAAGTCCTAACAGCTTCTTTCAAAGAAGTGCTCACTAAGAGTTGTTTACTTACTTTGAAGACTTCTTTATCATATCTAATGTTTTGTGAGCTGCCCCGAGGCTTCGGCGAATGGGGCGGCACAGAAATTTTCTAAATAAATAAATAAATATAGAGTTTTCAATATCTTTCTCTGATCACAGACAAAAGAATCATTTTTAAAGTTATAATAAACTGATATAAACATATTTTTCTCTTCTGCTTCAAATACAATAATATTTTCAAAAACAGTTCTCTATATCTTGTACAGCAGTTCTTTGTATTTTGTATATCTTGTCTGTAACCCGCCCAGGGATCTGTGTAACTAATAAATAAAGAAATACAACATGACATTACTGATTTGACTAAAATTCATACCATGCACATGTCCATCCAGCCCTATTTCCAGGCAACCTATAGAAAAGCTCTGAATCCCTTACCAAGTCTCGCATCCTACAACAATCATGAATTCCCCATTGCTGAATGTTCCCTCTTGTATTAATAAACAATTTTGTGACTAAAAAGCTGGTGTTAGATTATGAAATTCTGGACTCAACCCACTCCTGTGTTTAAGCCAAGTTTTGGGTATGCATGTTAGGATTAATTTATCCTGAATGATGTCTATCACCACTTCCTTTGCCTCCATGGGAGAGGTCTGCCTGCCTGCAGAGCTATTCATTAAGCTAACATGTCAAGTCACTTTTGCTAAGAAGCTGTGGTCCTGCAGGATTAACCCTGCAGGTAGGTGACCACATGTGGAAGTGGAGCAGGAGCTGGACTTGATGGCCTCAGAGGCCCCTTCCAACTCAACTACTGTGCAATTCTATCTAAAGGCATACAAGAGGACCTGATCTTCTTACATGTGCCTGTAGATGGGTGGGTATCGGGACAGGACGCATCCACATCCCACTCTGAAGTTTAACTTCTAGAACTACTGCAGAGGGAGCTGGATACCAAAGGACAAGTTTAGCAATTTACACTAATTAAATTGTTACCAGAAATGTAATAAGCAACCCCCCCTCAAAAAAAAAAAAGAAATAAAATATGAGAAGGAATGGTCAAAGGAAAAATATTACATCTAAGTATGGAAAGAGGATAGCAACAAGGACGCAGGGATTTTCCCGAGTGGCAGTTCAAGAGCAAGTTGCAGTCAACACAGTGAGGGCTTGAAAGTCTCACAAGAAAACTCTAAACCGGGTGTTATAGTCTCCCCCAGTGTGCATAAATGTAACATGCTTTCCTGAGAGAGCCCTGATTTCTTGGCAGAGCAGTTAAAGTAGCTTAGGCAGCAGCCCACCCAAAATGTGGACTGAAGCAGCTGGGCTTTGTCTCATGATGTCTGGCAACATTTTTCCTGCTACCTGTGCCGTGGTAGGACTTCTACAATAAAATACAATAATTTTTTGCCTGGAAACAGCTGCCTTCTTACACATGGCAATACGACTGCTTTTTTCTTCCTCTGTACACTTCATGACAACTATCTCCTATTTATTATTATTATTATTATTATTATTATTATTATTATTATTATTATTAGACATTTGTGTTCTGATATAAAATGAAACCATCAAAGACTCCTATCACTTATGGGAGTGCAAATCTCTCCTCTCCTCAGAATTGTCACCTCTTTCTCTCTTAACAGTTTTTAGAGGATACCAGATCAGAGGTTTTGCTTTTTGACTTGTTTATTCCAAAAATGCATAAGAATTATACTCTGCTTGATGGAGGTTGCTCTCATAGGAAAGGGCACCCCTAGGTTTGCTCTCTTGACATATTAAATTCTTGTCTAGAAGGCAGGCAACCTTCACAGCAGTTATGGATATCTATGAGTGCCAAGACTTTCATTTTTATCATAAAAATAAATGTCTAGTTTATGTATTAGTGCCCCCCTGAAGGCAAGTCATAAGATCATGTACATTAATTTCTTTTGCATTGCTGCTTCAGGAGATAAAAAGTACAAGCATTTGCCAAGCGTATTGTATTTACTTCTCAGATCCTAACAATTGTTGCAAAATTGTCTGTGTGTGGGGAGGGGCAAGCACATAAAATGGCAAGCACTTATAACAAGATTGTTCATGCATGAGAAATGCCTCTGTGGACCATGGGCAGAGAATGGAGAATAGATGCAAAGAATTCTTGTAATGACAAACAGCCTCACCGCGCAATTCATTAAAATCAATAAAACAATATTAGCTTGTGTTTGGCATTGCCTTTAATGCAGTAGCAGAATGATACTATGAAGCTTAAAGCTGCAATATTCCTTATTGTTAGCAAAAGTCTTCCTAATGAACGCAAAATTAGGGAGCATTAGGGAGTGAGAAAGAACTCGATGGCTAATTGAAGCAACGTTTATCCCCCCAAGTATCCTTGTAGCATCCTTGCTGAGCATCTGTGCAAACCTGGTTTTCAAAAGTCTCTAAATATTTCCTTGCAGCTCCCCTATACAGTTTATTAATCTTTCAATTGCTGTTAACAAAAAACATATTTCTCTATCCAGATTCTTTTGCTTTTACAGCATCTAATTCTTCCATCTCGTGCCTTGAATGGGATAGAAGTACTACACAGGACTCCAGTTACCCATATATCACTGTAGCAGAATAAAAATACTTTTTGTACTTAAATACAGTATTGTATGAGTCCATCCAGTGTTGCATATCTGGATTTTTCTCACATGGTTATTCGCACATCACTTCTTGATAAACTTCCTTTGCAGGTCTAGGGCAAACATCAATCCACCTTCAAAGGGCTCTCCTGCCACAGCTGCACCTACCATCAATTTTTTTGAGCATGTACAACCATCTTCATCTTCAATGCCTCCCCATTACAGTGAAGAAGACAGCCTTCCTCCACACCTCCTCCTGCCAGATAGCATCAGTCAGCTGGAAGAGTTTGGGCGGCAGAAGAAGTGGCACAAGAAGCAATATAAAAACCATCGCCAAAGACAATTCAATGACCTCTGGGTCCGGATAGAAGATGGGTGAGTTTACCTGAGGGAGAGCTACGCAGTGGTGCTTAGCACTGGCTATGTGTGTGTCTTCCATAAGCTTTTCAAAATGACTACTCCCTGTGTCCATGGGACTATTATAAATAGATAAATACACTGATGTACATTGATTGAGTGAGTGAGTGAGTGAGTGCCATAGGGTACAACCTACAAGTTTGATTTGATTAGCTCCCATCAGTTGCGGGAGAAATCAGAGTGCAGCAAGAACAATAACCCAGCCTCCTTGGGACCCACACACTTTCCCCTAGTCACTTCCCTAGTAGACGACAGCAGCTGCCAATGTCCCTTCCTGAGAAGGCTTACCTGACAGTGGTGATGCTAGGATGGGCAAGTCCTCCAGGTGCAAGGGAAGGGGAAGCTGGCAGCTAAGCAGCATCACTACTAGAATCAAAATAGTTTCAGTTTTAGTTTGTGGGGATGGCCAATAAGGGTAGCATCTCAAGGCCTCCCAAAACCTTGAAGGAGCTCTGCTAGAGAAGCATTATGTGTTTGCTAATGCATAACTTCTTTGTTGATCCACAGAACTATGCACTTATGAAAATGATTGTCTATTATATTCATGGGGTACAATTGCATACACTAAGAAATAACCCTACCCTGGATATTTGTTGAGGCAAAGCACAAACAAGATGAGGCCCTTTGCTTCTATAGTCAGTTTGACTCCAGCTGAAGGAAGGCCAATGGAAGGCAAAGTACTTCCATCATGATTAGTCTATTCATCTTTTCTCCAAGGACCTTAGAGCAGCATACATGTGGTAGAAGGTAGAGGCTTAAGCCAGATCAATTTGGCTCCAAGGATGGAACTACAACAAGTAGCTTCAGATTGCTTGTACAATCAGGAAATCCAAACCTGATCAGAGTTTCTGGAGCAGGGAACCTTGTTAAGTGTCTTGGGACAAATGTGCTCGAGACAAATGAGACAAAGTCCTTTCAGAGCTTTGTGGTAAACAGATGAAATTCCTACAACCAACCACATATTCAGGGAAGCTGGGGACAGGGTTTGCATGCCTGTATCCCTACCTCGTTTAGTCTTCAAGTTAAACAAGCTAAAGAATATACTCATAATATTCTTAATATAATATTAAAATGACATCAGATTGAGAGTAGCAGTAATAACATTTAAAATGTGTTTTCCTCCATATTCACATAGTTCCCCACAAAATCAGATATTTTTAAATCTCATTGCTCGTAATTTGCAGGGACAATGGAGGTTGGGCTTCTGTGAATGACCATATCCCTTCTTCAGGCTGCTGCAAAGAAGTGCCTGAATAGGGCTATTTTCTAATACATGATTGTTCTATTCCAGTGGTGGCGAACCTTTGGCACACGTGCCACAGTGGGCACACAGAGCCCTCTCTGTCGGCACGCCAGCCAAGTCACCCCAGCATCGCCCCAGCGCACATAGGGGCAATGCGCATGCTCGGGAAGGAGTAGCGGCACCAGGCGATGATGTCACGAGCCACGACTCATTAGCCACAACTCATCCAAGCTTTTGCATGGCTGGTCAGTGTGCTGCCAAGGATATATATATATATATATTTGCTTGGACTGGCTGTGAGTTGTTTTTTCTAAACTAAAACCTCACTTTTCAGGTTTTATTGCCGTGCTGGCACTTTGCGATAAGTGGGTTTTGGGTTGCAGTTTGAGCACTTGGTCTCTAAAAGGTTCACCATTACTGGGTTAGAGTTAGAAAAATGTGGTGTCCTGGCATGATTTTGATGGTTGGAATGTGTTCAGAATGGGCAGAAATGATGAACAGTGCAGAAAAAGCTACTCAAGGAAGGCTTTTTCAAAATCACATTAATTTCAATGGAACTTTATCCCTGTATTAGGGTTAGAGGTGTGCACCAGGGTAGGGTTAGGGTTAGAAAAACGAGATGTCCTGGCACGATTTTGATGGTTGGAATGTGTTCAGAATGGGCAGAAATGATGAACAGTGCAGAAAAAGCTACTCAAGGAAGGCTTTTTCAAAATCACATTAATTTCAATGGAACTTTATCCCTGTATTAGGGTTAGAGGTGTGCACCAGGGTAGGGTTAGGGTTAGAAAAACGAGATGTCCTGGCACGATTTTGATGGTTGGAATGTGTTTGGAATGGGCAGAAATGATGGGCTGTGTAGAAAAAGTTACCCAAGGAAGGCTTTCTCAAAATCGCCCCTTTCAGTGGTATTTTACCCCTATATTAGGGTTAGGGGAATGCACCAAGGTACGGTTAGGGCAGTGGTGGTGAACATATGGCACGCATGCCACAGCGGGAACACAGAGCCCTCTTTGTCAGCATGTGAGCCAAGCCTCCCCAGCATTGCCCCAACAGCCGAGAATCGGATAAAAGCGCACATACAGGCCATGCGCATGCTTGGAAAGGAATCATGGCACCAGGCGATGACGTCACAAGCCATGACACATTAGCTACAACTCCTCCGAGCTTTCACATGGCTGGTCAGGGCACTGCCAAGGATATATATATATACATTTGCTTGGACTGGCTGTGATTTGTTTTTTTCTAAACTAAAACCTCAGTTTTCAGGTTTTATTGTAGTGTTGGCACTTTGTGATAAATAAGTGGATCTTGGGTTGCAGTTTGGGCACCCAGTCTCTAAAAGGTTCGCCATCCCTGTTCTATTCTGTCACAGCCGGGGAGAAGAGGCCAGTTTTCTGAAGGTATATCCAGTGTACTATACCATCCTAGACAGACAGATTAAACCAAGAAATGTAGCATCTGTAAGAAACTGGATAGAAAGAGCATGTTCATATTAAGTGACTCATCTACTTGAGAGGCTTCCTGCTATACTGTTATTAAAAGTGAGAAGAAAGGCAAAGAACTAGGCAAGATGACCTGGAACTAAATAGCAATGTAAACATTTGTTATCAAGCATTAGGTATCTGTTCTCCTGTAGAGGAGAGGTGACAAGCCCTAAATTAGACAGTTAATATTTAACTTCAATTTTTTGTACTATATTTCATAAGTTCCAAGAGAGAACCTGGCCTCCCTTCTTCCCCAAGGTGTCCCTTCTTCCCACAGAATGTACTTCTATATGTGTAGAAGGCAAATCATGTTATACTGGGAAAGGGAAATAATACAAGCAAGAATGGGATTTTTGTTTCATGCTCACAATTGGTACTTAGTCCAAAGGAGTATCATTGTAAAAGCTTTAGCAACTATCACCTTATTTTATGTGAATGTTCTTTCAGTCTATAAGTTAGAGCACAAACATACACATGGGCCAGCCCTGTGGTGAAAGGCAGAAAATACAATGAACTATACTAACTATCGCCGGAAATAGCCACCCTTATCAAATGGAACTTCAGCCAGACAGTTTGTCCTTTTTGCAGGCAATGCTGTAATTCAAAGCACGATACTGTCAGGTACAACAAACCTTCAATTTTATTTAACAGCTCCTGAAAGGTGAATTTCACTAAATAAAGTGGGATTTCAAGGTGTTTCAAGACACATCATTCATCTTCATGAAAGGAGAAGCTGTGTTTCTTTGGAGTCTGTGCTTTTGACATCTTAATGGATAAAATTCAAATCAGACTATTTTTCCCCCACAAAGAGATTTTGAGATTGTGAAATAGCCATTGCTTGTTTTATTTCAAGTTCTGTTCTTCACCTGCTATTTATTCAGTACATTAAAATCTAATCTAGGAGTTTAGTAGTGGCACAGAAATTTAAAAAGACACAACCTGATTGAAGAAGTGTCCCAAAACTTGAGATAGGATGTGCAAGTGACATTGATATGGAACATAACAAGCTTTGTGTCTACTGACTGATTTTGGATACGTTGTCATGTGATATACCAGGAAGCTTTGGATGCCATCTTAAAAATATGTTGGCCTTGTGAACACCTTGTCTCCACAAGGATATCACATTGCATAGAAGCTGCTTCCATATCCACCCTGCCCTCACAACACACACTTTTTAGGGAAGGAGAGTAAATGGGTGGTCCACAAATTTTTAAAATGGCACCCATCTAAACAGGAATTTAAGAGGCGGTTGGGCTCATATGCGTTAGAAGGATAAGCACTCTGTCAATCTGGTTATAATTACGTAGGAAGTCCCATTTCATGCTTCTCTGCTGAGCCTGCCTCTTCAAGAACTAGTGAACTAGGCTGCTGCATTTTTCATGTTTCTGAGCTCTTTTCTTAACCATGCCACCTCTTACGACATGGCACATACCTATCTCAACATTATTTTACAGTTACACTTCCCCATGAGTAGGATAAGACAGTACATTTAACGAACAATATCCAATACTCTGAAAGAGTAGTGTGAGCAATGGGAGAGGTCTTGCCTGCCTTACTCCAAGAAGCATAGGAAGCTGCTGTGCTCTGAGTTAGACCATTTGTTAATCTGCCTCCGCTCTGTTAACGTGGACTATCAGGTAGTCTCCAGAGCTTTCAGGCCTATCTGGAGATGCTGGGTATTGAACCTTGGACATTCTGCATGTAAAGGAGGGACGTTGCCCCTGAGCTACATCCCCTCCCAGCATCACAGATTATTCTTTTGGTCACTCTCCTGACAATGCCAAGCTTTGACAGGCCAATAGCAGCCTAAAGGGGACCATCTCTCTACTTTTGCAACGTGTCTTCCCTTCTTAAATCAGCGCTTTTCCTAGAACCCAAATTAACAAAATTGAGACTGTCAAACTTGGAGCACATCGTGCTCCAAGTCAAGACTCCCTAGAGAAAACAAACATTCTAGGAAAGCTGAAGGCAGAAGAAGAAAGGAAAGACCCAGTTATGAGATGGATTGGCTCCATAAAGAAGTCACAGCCTTGAATTTACAAGAACTGGACAAGGCTTTCATGGGCAGGACATTTTGGACGTCTTTCATACAGAGGATCTCCATAAATCAGAGATGACAACACGCAGCAGTAACAACAACTTCCCTTTTCATTTTATAGTTTATAATATACTTCAGTTTGCATTTTTTAAAAATATCACTTTTGGGTGACCATTGTTTTTATTTCACA